GCATTTTAGCAGTTAACAGCACTGCAGCGCCTGTGCCCTAGGCGCTGCACATCTGGTTGTGCATACAGAAGCTTTACAACACTAGCCATACCCAAAAATTGCTAAGTCACTATGCAGCGGCCTAGTGCCAGGCACTACACTCTACTGTGTGACACCTCTGTCTTGGGCGCTGCACTGTAGAGTGCTGCGCCTAGCACTAGGGCGCTGCACAACTATTTACTGCTATTGACTACAAATGGCAATTCACCGGAACATCCCAACACTTACAATAACTTGAGTATCACAGCAATTTGAACAAACACAAATTTTATGCCGATGAGTTCATCACTTAAGACAATTCAAACATTACTACGACATAGTTCACGGCACATTCATTAGAAATGACAAATTTGCCTAGTACGACTAGAAGTGGCATCTTGCCCTAGAAGAAAGTTCATGACAAATACGGCATGGATACATCCGGCTTCATGACTAGTGCACCGAAGCGAAGTCCCTACTGAGTAGAGCAAGGCCATTTCCCCTTCTTGTCACGCGCGGAGTCCTCCTCTAGCGCCTCGCGAGCCTTTGCAAGCTTTCTTGCCCTCTCCTCCTCACGAGCAAGTTTCGCTTGGCGTGCCCTGTCCTCCTCTCGTTTCTTCCGCTCCATCCTCTCCTTCACACCGTGTTAGGGAGACCTTGAAAGCCCGGCCTCCGTGTTGGCGGCCATCGTTTGTGGTTCCTCCAGGCTCTTTCACTTCAAACATCCATTGTTGTCGTCATATAGTACAACTTCTTCGGAGTCTGCCTTCGTGATTGAAATTCCAACCATTCTTCAACCTTTGGTGGGAAATTGTACTTGTGCTTATCCTTGTTCTCACCAGCAATCTGCTTATCCGTCTCCATTGAGTACTTTAAAAAGTATGCATTCATCTTGTCAAATGTGTATTGAACTATTGTCGTCACGGGTAATGCACGTACACCCTTGAGCACCTTATTGAAGCATTCTGCCATATTGCTTGTCATTTGACCGTACCTCCAACCATCTTCATCGAAAGCACGTGCCCACATATTCCTTTCGACAATGTTCTTATTGAGAAATTCATGACCGCCGGGGTCAAGTTTCTTGTGTCTGAGCAATGCATTGAACAATGTGGCAAACCGCTTGTTGGTGAACGCAAGACAACAACCTTGAAGATCAGCAGCCAACTCCTTGATACCACATGCCCTGTAGAAGTTTGCACAAAAGTGCCTCATGCACCATCGATGGTGCAACTTTGTATGTCTGGGAATGCCAACCACCACCGCATTCAGAATTCCTGGATGGCGATCCGATATGACACAAATTTCCCTTTCAGCCGGTAATTCCGTTGTTCTCAGTTGACGCAAGAACCACCCCCAGTTATCATTTTTCTCCACCTCAACCAAAGCTAAAGCCAAAGGCAACACCCGGTTATTGGCATCACTTGCTATTGCAACCAATAAAGTGCCCTTGTATTGTCCCGTCAAGAACGTGCCATCAATGGCGATGACGGACCGACAATGCTCAAAAGCCCTCACGCATTGCTCAAAGGCCCAAAATGCACGGCCAAATACTCGGACGGTCCTCCCGTTGTGAATCAATGTTTGGTGCCCATGAGGCTCAACCATGTGAACCATGCCTGGGTTTGTGGTGGCCATAGCTAACAACAACCTAGGGAGTCGGTTGTATGCTTCCTCCCAATTGCCATACAACATCTTAAATGCGGCTTGCTTCGCCTTCCATGCCTTGCCGTACTTCACCTTGTAATGAAAGATGGCTTTTAAAAGGTCAATGACACTCTTCATGCTCATTATTGGAAGTGTGGATATTTGGTTGGATAACCTATAAGCAATGAACTCGGACGTGAGTTGTCTGTGTTGTTGGTACACAAGCTTGCCATCCGCATTCTTGTGTCGGCACATGTGACTTGACGTAGAACTCACTATGCGCCAAGTGGGACCTCCTTTCCATGGCCTTGCACGCACAATCCATGGACATCTTGGCACTTCACATTTAACTGTGTAACGCACTTTGACATCCGAGTTGGCCACTTTATGTGGACGATAATGCGTAACCGAGTAGTTGTCGAGCACATCTTCAATTCCAAGAAGGATTGAAACTCACAACCGGGATATATCCCGTTCTTGCCGTCTTCCAAATCACGGTGAGAACTTGGCCTAGCTCCAAGAGATATACATTTGCCACCATCTACAATGGCTTCATCCGCGAGACTAAGATCCTTGAACAATGGTGTCTTGTGATCCCGCCCGAATACCTTCTTAAATGCTTGGGCCTCCTTGGGCGTGAACCCCTCCTCATCAACTTCTTCATCGGGACCATCGTCATCGGAGTCCGATGCATATGCACGAGAAAAAGGGATGGATTGGTCCATTATCTCTTGCACATGATATTGCTTGAGATCACCCACATTGTTGTCATGGAGATCGACTTCGTTGTCATCCTCATCGTACTCATAATTGTCCTCTTCAAAAGCTTCATTTTGGTTGTTAGAAACCGGGCTCAATGTTGGCCAAACTTGTTGCGGCAAATGAGGTTCACTAACTTGATCTTGGTTCATGGGTGGGGGAGTACTAGCAACCAATGGGGAGGGGTTCCGGTTCAAATTCAAATGCAAACTAGACTCAACCTTCTTGGAGGCAAATAACTTAAGAGCCTTGTCTAGAGATTCCGCAACCGTCTCCTTGTATGCAACCCAGCGTTGCTCCCAGTTCACACGCATTGTCTTCTAACGGATGTGCATTCCAAAATCAACATTATGCCTTTCTTCGAACTCAACAACGTCACTTGGGTCCATCCAATTCAAATCCTTCCTCACTTGTTCCAAGACATCCGCATAGCTAGGACTACTCTCAAACACCAAGTCAAGCTCATCCGGGTCCGGCTCAACATTGCCTTTCAAAAAGGCCTCTTTGTCCACATGATGAACATAAACAAATATTCTTCCCATCCCTACAATAATCAAAAACACACATATATCAAGTAAGGACTTAACAAAATATTTGCACAAAATACATAAGCATTAACGTATATATGAAACAATAAGCCTAACCCCCACTTAACAATAACCACAACCCTAACCATAGCATAACCCTAACACCAACATCAAACACACATAACCCTAACCCTAGCATAGTATATGAAGCCTAACCATAACCCTAACACCAACATCAACACAAATTTCCAAATCCAAGCCAAAACTAGGGTTTCCCCAAACTAGCAAGATTTGAGCAAATGTGACAATTCCTATGGATGAAAACGAGGGAATCGGAGGAGATTACCTTAAGGGAGGGGTTGGCTTCGAAATCCATGGTCAAATACTCCGGATTTGGAAGATTTGAGAAGGATTTGAGACGGGGGGAGAGGGGGAGAGAGGAGGGCCGCAAGGCTTAGGGATTGGGTGGGGTGGGGGTGTGTGGGGTGGGGGTGGGAGGGGAGAGAGGGTGGGGTCAACCTAAGTGACAAACAGACAGTGCAGCGCCTAAGCGCTAGGCGCTGCACATTACAAGTGTGGCGCCTAGCTCTTAGGCGCTGCATAGCTGGATGTGGGGCCGCACCTGGCCCGGGCTGCCACGCCTTAGTAAAAGGCGCTGCATAGTGCAGTGCAGCGCCCGGCTGTTGGGCGCCACCCAAAATGGTCTGTTATGTGAAAATTTTTCCAGACCAGGTCAGATCGTGATTTGTTTTCGCCCACAGGTGAAATGTGTGATTTCTGCCGTGGCTAGATGTGGATGGGTGTTGGAAGTGGATGAGGCCGGCCCCGTCGCACGCTTCCAATAAAAAGGACGGGCCCATGGACCTTCCATCCACTGCGAGGCGGGCCCCGAGGTGGGCCCCGAGGCCGGCACCGTCGCACGCTTCCATGATGACGTAAATCCGGCCCAAATTTAAGGCTGAAATGAGTCGGTGCGGACATGAAACGATCATGATTTAGATTTGGCTCTCAGCATTGGGTCATCGTTTTTGTCCGCAGATATCCAAAACGACACGAGCGGACTAAATGGATCGCCCGATGCAGCAAAAAAGAAGAGTAAACAGAATTTCCAAAAGTAATTGCCTCACGCGCACCAGGGAAAGGGGTAGACACACGCGGAGTCACGATGACTGTGGCCAAATAGTGGAGTAGTGCGTGGTTTCTTTCGCCGGTGAGTCTCCACCCACAGACTCCATCCAGGGCAAGCCTTGCTCTGGTCGTCCTCCATTCCATTGTCGGCACGGCCGCTTTCCCCTCCTCGCCCCCTCCGCATTCCGCCTCTCCGCTCCCACCCTCCCTTCCCGTCAAGTTCTTCTCCGGCCCGCCCGACCTCAGCCATCCTTTGACGCTTCACCTCCGGCCCCGGCGCCGCTTCCCCCGGCAGAGAAAGGATACCTACCGTAAGCCAAGAAGGTGGTGATAAATCCGTATCCTCCATAGATCTAATCTAATCTAATCAGGGGATCCCTTTTTCTTCTTCAATGCTTTTTGGGGGCATTTTTTTTTGGTTGCTAACTACTAGTAGTAATGGAGAACAGGTCCGTCCGTTTCCTTCAGACTTTTTAGATCGATGTCTCTTTCAGACTTCATCAGATAGATATATACTAATTTCTTCACATAGATTCATTTTTAAAGTTGTTGCTATATAATCGAGAGAAGAAGTCCGTCTGTCTCTTTCAGAATTTTTAGATCGACTTCAGACTTCAGAATAGATACACTAATTTTTTTTTTTCTGCAATTGCTATTTCTTCAGTTAGCCAAAAAATATAGTACTCCGCCTAACTTTTTCTTCAGACTTCAGATAGATACTCTAATTTTTTTTCTGCAATTGCTACTTCTTCAGTTACCCAAAAAATATAGTATTGGTTTCAGTCAACTTTTTGAACCTGATTATTTTCCACGCAACTGAATAATAGCAGGTCCCAATTTTCACCTTATTTGCACGTACGGCTAATGAACAACAGTAAATATGCTTCAGGAGAATAACACCACCTAACTTTCACAACCGAGATGATGGATGGCGGCCAAAGCAGCCAACCTGCTGCTCTGGAGAAAGTGTTGCTCGATGAAACCGCGGATCCAGTCCATCTACCTTTCTCACTGCTCAGCTCCATCACAGGAAATTTCTCTGAAGCTCAGGAAATCGGCAGGGGCGGGTTTGGAGCGGTTTACAAGGTAAGCAACCAAACCCTCGACCCTGAAGACAATCTAGCTGATGCGATTCCATGTGAGATGCAGGGAGTGCTTCCAAGTGGTCGCACAGTCGCCGTGAAGCAGCTCTTTGAGAGGTACGAGATCCTGGACAAGAATTTCGAGAGCGAGGTTACCTGTCTCGCGGGGGTCAAGCACAAGAATACCATGCGATTTCTCGGGTACTGCTCTGAGACGCAGCAAGTACTGATGCCATACGACGGGAAGCGTGTCTTGGCAGATGTGCGGCATAGGCTGCTCTGCTTCGAGTACATGCCCAGAGGGTGCCTTGCTGACTATCTCTCCGGTAAAATCAGATTACCCTTATAGCTTTTCTTGCATTTCTACTATACAGTAGTAGTAAATATCTACCAGCTGCAGTCCAGAGTATTTATTGTTTGCCACTCTTCTGAGCTTTGTTAATTCCTTTTGCACACTAAATGGTAGTTTTCAGCTCTGTTCTTATACCGCTGCAGAACATGCACTCTTCAGGGGCATATTGTGATTTCTCATCCTTCTTGCCTCAGAGAGAAGAGCACACTAAAAAATATCTTTTTCTGTTGTGGATAGAGCTTACTCGAGCATCCAAAACATTTCAGAGTATCTCAATTTTGAAATGAAGTG